ATTGACTTCTGGTTCATAAATCACCATAATTTATGTTCTTGTATTAATATTATTTTATTTTGTCCAATATGAATTTACAGATCAACTGCAGAACTGGAATCATTCCATAACCACATCCTGATGTACGCGAGCAATCGCTTCAGCTTCTCACCACCCGTGTACTCAGCTAGGACCATGTTGGCTGCACTAGATTACAACCATCATGTTGACAGACCAGCAAAGAGAAAGACTGATGGCACAATACAGTATGTAGTTTTTAAGTTCCTCCCTTAATTTTATTTTGTACATTGTGTAACAAAAGCTGATGTGGATTTAGGGCAAGGACAGCTACTGATTTGCGGTTGCCATTATCATTTCCATTCCATCCAACCTGTTGTGTCCTTGTGCACGAAAATTAAATGACCTTGACTACCATTTTTTTTGGGGAGGTTGAATGTCACAAATTGTCTATTACGGCTTCACTTGTGTAAGTTTGCAACTGGGCAGTTGTGGCTAACAGGTATCTTGTCGCCTCAAGTGTGTGAATGTGAGAGTGTACAAGTGTTTGACTATTTGTGTCGCATCTGTTGAAGTTGTTGAACATGTAGACAGTTTACATGTTCATTGACTTTTTTCATAGGAATAATTACATACTAATGTAAATTGTTAAAATATTGTTATTTTAGGTACCAGAAGTTGTTGAACAAGAAATCCAAGAAGTGGAGCTTGTACACACTAAAAGTGGACAAGGACTATCGCTACATCTCAGACATCCAGGCCGCTATACTCAGAATCAGATGAATTTTATTGCCAGCGCTCCTTTTAGAGCGTAGGAACTTGACTCCATAGTACAACCTGACCAAGGTTACACACACACACATATAGACAAGACAGATACAGGCAGACCATGGGAGCAGCCATAACGGCACTCCTTTGTAGATGAATAAGGGAATACATGAGGGAAGTTCAGGGAGGGAGAAAAAAGGCATTAACAGGGTTACACCAGCAGGGTGTAGCACTCCAATGCAAAAAAACACCCGACATGTAAGCAACAAACGTCACAGTTCACAACATGAGACCCGGTAGGTAGGGGGGAGGGGCTGGGATCCTGGTTCCTCAGCGGGGGCGGCCTGTGTGGCGCTCAACCAGCTGGCTCCGCAGGTGGGAGGGAGGTCATGGGGAAGCACAGAGAGCGGTGAGTCCTTTAGCTTGATGACCTCGGTGGAGACCTCAATCTGAAGGCGGGGGGTGGGGGGGGGGGGGTGGATAGAGATTCACAGCATTTGTCTGCATTCCTTCCAGCATGGGGGTTTTGCATGCAACTCCAAGGCTGCTTATGGCGTCAGATTCGATAACAGAAACTTTGTTTGGGTCAGACAGGGATAATTTTTCCTCTCTGCCTTAAGTCTGTATTGATCATTCAAGTCCTCCAGTGAAGCCAATTCAGTGAGGCTGACTTCTGGAGCTGGACTACCAAGGCGAAGAACTCCGAGGCCCGATAATCCATGTAACCTTGGTGTTCTCTCTGGTGTTCCAGTTCCCACCACCCAGCAGTTGTTACAGGAACAAGTTGGAAGGCAGACAGGTAAAAAAAAAAAATTCTTACCCTCAGTGAGAATCTTTGATTACGATATGTGTATTTTGTATTTATTATTACAAATCGAGATGCTGTGCTCTATTTTATTATCTTTTTTTATTTTATGTTGACTGTGTATATTTTGCCCCATCAATTCTTATCACGGTTGGTTTACTTGCCGTTCAACACACTAAAATCTGGACTATACTTACCAACAACAAAATTCCTCACAATGTTAGCGTGGACACTTAGTCCCTGTCCACACGTAGCCTGGGATCTACCAAAGCGTAGATATTTTTCTACGTTTTGGCCTGTCATCCACACGAAAACAGAGTTTTTTCACATGAAAACGGATCTTTTTAAAAACTCCGGCCAAAGTGAAGATCTGCGTTTTCTATGTTTTGGGTGTCTGCGTGTGGACGGACAAAACCGGAGTTTTAAGGTCCGCAACGTCACTTTCCGCGACAAAAAAAATGCTGACATCACGTGTGCGACCTGTGTTTACACTAGCCGACAGCATGGATGCCCTCAGAGCTGCGCTCGCTTTATCAATTGTCCAAGCGCTTTCTGCTTGTTTGTTTTTGCAAGCGGAATTACTGCTCCTTGCGGAAGACCACAGACGAAGGACGAGGTTAAGAACGGGGGAAGTACTGACGCCTACAGGTCTGGCATGACCTTAACAACGTATTTATCCGGGTACGTGTGGACAGTTTTTTTTTTAAACGAGGTGGTGTGGATGCAAGTTTTTGGAGGGTCGGATATTCGTTTTTAAAAAAACCCGGCTACGTGTGGGCCTTAATGAGTGACACTCAGCTGGTGTGGACGAATACAGACAGCTGCATCTCCTCAGACTTTTATGTTAAGTTTCACACCGGAGCTGTCACTCACAATACGTTTGTGTTATTTTTTTTGTAGAAAAACAAAAAAGAAAAACTGATGTTGTCTTTCTCTCTTTCTGTATGTTTCAGGATGCACTCTCCCACATCACTGAGACAATCAGCTTCTAAGGGATCAACACACTGGAGTCTAGAGCAGCTGTTAGAGCTGGAAAAGCTCTTCAAACATCTCAGCTGCACAGTGGCTTCTTACTGTTCACTAACCTGATGGTTATAGCAGAAGCAACTAGGTCTCGTGAGAAATGTAATAAAAAAATCTCCATTTTAGATTGTAAATAAAAATTTTAAATACTACATAGTTTATTTTTATTTAATTTTTTTGGTCATATGGGTGTGTTAACATCGCTGTTTGGAAGAAAGAACTGGAGTTGATTTTTGAAAAATATAAAATTTTAATAACAAAAATTAAATTTTTCAGAAAAAAGATACAAGTTACAAAATACAAAAAAAGTATATATACACAGTGATGGTAAAATTAAAAGACGAGTATCTGCAACAGTCTTTTTGGTTGTTGTTTTTTTTTTCTGTGTTAAGATTCTGCTTGGGATGAAACTTTTATATTGTCCATGTGGGTCTGGGTATCTGTCTCTAATCCTCCAGACACAGCAACTTGGTATTACTACCCTGTTACCATGTCCCAATGCTCCATATTGCCAGACCACAAAGTGACGGTATGCTGCATGTCTGAACTCACGAACTCAGGAACGGGAAGATCTTCTGCAGCACAGATCTCATTCCACATTCGTCAGGCAAGCCGGAGGACCCCCTCATGCAAAATGTATGCTTCCATTTGAGGGAGGTTGGAAATGCAGGATTGAGGTTGTTGCTGACAGCATTTTTTTTTTCAATATCTGTTGGCATTTCCCTGCAATTTGTGCATATACACTAAGGTACATCTGATGCAGGAGGACCCAATGGTGGAGCACTTGATGTTTCATCCATAATGCCAAAAAGAAGACTTGGGTCTCGTGTTAAGCAACACTCCGGCAATCTGTGTGATGACTCCAAGTTTAGGGGTCTGATTCGTGCCTGTTGAAATAATTGATAAAGAACATGACTTGGTTAATTATTTGCTACATGCTTATGAATAGTGGTACTAACTGTGTGAACATAATATTTACTTTCCTAATGTAGAATGTCTAGAAAATTGTCAAACTCTAAAGCAAATAAATTATCCCTTTTTTATTAATTATCTTTAAAAATTACTAAAAAAAATTAAGAAGAGCAATAACATTACACCAAATACAACTATACTTTGGTATATAAATGCTTTTAATAATAATTGATGTGATGAAGTTTAATTTTGATCCAGCCTGCGTAATTAAACAAATTATTTTTCACAAGCAGGGAACTCGGTTCTGCACACCAGTACACATAAAGAAAAACAATTATAAATTAATAAACCCTCTCTTCAGCAATCCTTTGCTGTTGTAACTCCTCAACTTGACATGCATCCTGGATAGACAGTCTCTCCAAGAAGTCCTCTCACACAGGGAGTGGCCTGGGGTGGCCTGGGGTAGCACATGCCACCCTTGGAATCTGATTGGCCACCCCAGGTGCCAACACACTAATTTCTTTAAATAGGCTTTTCATTGTCCACAAAAGGCTTGGGGGTTAAAAACAAAAAAAGCATAACCATTGGTGCCACCCATGCGCAAAGTTGTGCCTTGCCTCATTTTAAAAGATCTGGACACGCCACTGCTCTCACACCTGATCTGGTTATCCTCCCTCTGGACTGATGCTGCGATTTTTGAAGAGCTATTCCAGTTCGAACAGCTGCTCTAGGCTCCGGTTTATATTCTGTATCAGACCCCGCGAGGCTCTCGTCATGGAAACTCTAATGTTGAAACAAGAATAAAAAAGAGAACCCATTTCAGTAAAGAACAAGAGGCCACAACAATATAGACATACAAAACAAGCAGTAAGCAGTAGCTTACTAGCAGACTATTATTACTCTTTGTACTGAAAATAATCAATAAATTAACATTTTAAAACATACTTCGTTCCCATATGAATAATTTAAATCAAGTTATTAAAGTTAGATGTTTATATTGTTTATTTTTCTCCTACCGATGACTCCGCCAACGTGAACAGCAACAGGTGTTGTATCAGAACACCGGTGCACTGCTTTGTGTTGTTCACCGTGGCAGAGCACGTTCACATATCCGGAGGGGCGCGGCCTAATGATTATACCCGATAGGAGGGGTGAGAGTTCTGGGACCGTGTTCTAGCTTGCTGGCCTAGTTTGTTTGGAAAAAGCGTTAAAGCACCTTTAACCATTATTTGAGAGGCATTATTATTTTAGCACTATGGTGGTATTCTCTACACAACCACACGAGGGCGCTAGTTCATTTTCAGTGATTTTACTTCCCACTGAATTTCAAAATAAAAGCCAAAATTCTGTAGTTTGATTTTTTTATATCTGTGGTTTGATTGGGTAAACGGGCAGAAAGTAGAATGTGTTAATATTTTATTTCTGCTTCTAGATATGTGTAATGCGCGTTAATTATTGAGGCGTAACTCTAACAAAATCTACTTTTCTTCTATCTAGCAGTTCATTTTCCACTTCCGGGTTATGTAAGTGTTGCAGAAGCTATGACATTGTTCCTAACAACAAACGAGTTGGTCTCTTGAGTGACTTATACTTTGTTTTCCTACATGCATTGAAGTCTCGGGCGTTCTCGTCATCATGTCATCTACTCCCGCAGACTTTACAGAGGTGCGGCAGCGCGTACCGGCGCAGGTAAACACGTACAAACAGGCGCTAAGGTGTTAGCTAGGGTTAGCTAACGCTGGCTTTAGAGGAGCAGACACGCTAACAGGCTGAGCAATTTAACTAGTCTGATGTTTTAATCCCATCAGATTGAGGAGGCTGCTTTCTGTGCCTTAGATTATCTGGTGAAGGTTAACGAACGAAGAGTAGATCACTTTTCCTGTCTGTTCACCAAAGCCTGCTTGTTTATGTTCAGAGTAACCTTTAAACCTTATTTATTTTAGACACTGGTCAAGAATTAAACATGAGAAAATGACACAAACGTTGTTTTATTTTATTGTAAAATGTGAAAATTCATGCAACAATATTACATATCACGTGATGTCACCGTCACCTTCAATCATGGGTCGTTTTTACCTCTGGTTGGGCTCCTAAATTAAATTATTTACAAAACAAAACGGCTAAAATTTCTGAAAATATGAAATAATAAACACTATAAATATACAAGAACATATATATAAGAGCGAGATAAACTTTTTAAATGGAACAAAAGAACTAACCTGTATAAAGTTTGTTGTTTCACCTCTAAACAAACTATAAATTAATTTTAAAAACACTTCAATCAATTCTTTATTGTTGGCAAATAGTTCAAAATCTAAGGGCGCGAGCCAAGATGGGTGAGACCTGGAATGTAGATTTACAGTGCGACGTAGATCTGTGTGTCGTTTTCTGACTCGAGTTAATCTACATCTATCAGCGGCTGATGCCGTAAATATGGGCTGATGCAGTAAATAAGGGCAGGTCATTTTCACGTTCAGTCTGTGTGTGAACCTGAGTTAAGTAAAAAAAAAAGAGTTTCTCTGTGAAATTGCTTTCTTATAGGCTTGATTTATGATCCGAGTGGTCCTGGCATCCTTCTGAGCAGACCAGAGTGCTCTAAACACAAGGCAGAATATGTGATGAAATTCCCTTTAGAGCCAGTGCGGTAATAAAATCTGCATATCTGTCTTGCGGTAATAAAATCTGCATATCTGTCTTGCCATGTGAGCCAGGCCTGAGAAAAACTGAAATAATCCCAGCTTAATGAGTCTAACTCCAGATGTGTGTGATGGTCTGCAGATGCCCCTGGGTATGGACTACGTCCTCACGGAGGAGGAGAAGAGGATAATGCTGGAGTGCAGGCGTGAGAGCTTCTTTTATAGATGTAAGTTGTAAAACTTTAAGGAGCCTTCAGAACATTTCTCAGCAAAAGCCTGTTTTTTCTACGACCTCCTCCCACTTCATATCAAAATGAAGGGTCCGGGCTGACATTGTTGGAGGTTCTTTACCCCCAAAACAACCCATCAAGCTATTGTTTCCACCCATCTAAAGGATAAATGTGTGTTTTGTTGTTTTTGCTTTTGCCTGACCGTAATTATCTCTCCACAGCTGTGCCCTTTTCTGTGATCAGCATGGCCATCACTCAGGCCCTAGTGACCAGAGGTATTCTGTATAATTTATCAGTCTAGACCTTGGGCCTCTTCAGAGCCTTAAACTAACACCGATCTGTTTGTAGGAGCTCTTTCTGCATCACCCAGGTTTGGATCGCTACCCAAAGTGGCCTGTAAGTTTATGGATCTTTTACTTTGGGGTGACTACCTTCGCACTTCATCTCAATTTATTCAATTATATCAAAAAGATGTCCTTGTGTGCAGATCACCCTCGGCGTTTCATGCCAGACCGTTAAAGATAATAAATGGATTGTCACCACATCAGCTAATGTAGCTCTTTAGTTGTACAAAGGCGTACGTAGCCGATAACGTGCATCATTTACACTTCTTTACAGTTTACATTTGGGTTGCTTTATTACATTTTTGCATGCTTCTTTTAATCTTATCTTTTTATACATTTACAGTGTGGACAGCACAGTAAGACCTCCATTGCACAGGAAACTCTTCCTTCATGTGCTCATGACAAATAAAGCTCGGAATGTTTAAAAAGCCGTTTTGGTTCCGTTTTATTTTACCATTAAGACCACATGTAATATTACAAGATCTACATAATCTGTTTAGCAATCAGAGGATGACTCCGTTATTACCACATATTAGTTTAATATCTAAAATGGATTTAGCTCTAGATGGTTTTGTATTCGCTGAAGTTGATCCGATCATCTAGAGTTGGATTGATTTTTAAAAGTGAATCTAAGATGACTAAATAAACCGATATGTAGGATGTAGAAATGGTGTTTTTCCCTCTATACCTCTGAACTAAATGTATAGTTAGCATCGTTCTCAAATGAACCGTTTCTGCGGACTCGGTCTCATCTTACAGTTGCTGGCTTCTGTGGCTTCCTGGCTGGGAATATTTCGTACGGGAAGACGTGCCTGGAGAAGTTCAAGAGGCTAGAGAACTCTCCTCTGGGAGAAATCCTGAGGCAGAGGGCAGGGATGCCTCGACATCAGTGAGTTGGACACACTGACTCGTTGCCCTGCTTTAATGGCTTTTGGATGATTGTCTTCTCTGGATGTCAGCAGCAGTTGCTGGACACTTGTTTTTTGTTTGTTTCTGCCTCCAACAGCTCCAGCGGTGGTCAGTCGGAGCGGAACGACCCTAACACCTCTTCGTTTGACGCCATGTTCCAGCCAACAGAAGCTCCAAACACACCCAGCCTCGACGACGACGACTACGGATTCAACCCTGATGAACCTGTTCAAGCGGGTCGAGCAGATGACTTTAGTGCTCCAGGTACCTTATAGACCAGGGGTCTTCAGTCCTGGTCCTCGAGGGCAACTATCCAGGACATTTAGGGGTGTTTGCCTTCTCCAACACATCTGAAACAGCAGGTTATCAAGCAGCAGCAGCCTGTTCGTAGCCGTTCTTTCTCTGTACGAGTTCCGGGAAAATTGACCAGGAGAAACAACGGCTCAAGCCTCCCAGCTGCTGTGTCTCCATACAAATTCAGCTCTTTCGGGGCTTTGCTGAGACGTCAGCATATCACGACTGCTTTGGCCGTGAGTGGTGTCCCAGATCTGCGCCAAGAAGCATCCATGAACATTAAAGTTTTATTCTGTACGCTGCAATTTAATGGAGACAGGACAGGGAGTAGCTGTATGATGTAAAATGTGGCGTTTACTGACCAGAAGAAGCGCTGTTTTTTATGGCGCTGTGAGACAACAAAGCCTCGTGACTTACATCGTTGTCACCAGCAAATCTTCTCATTTTACAAATGCAGGTCTTTTTGGCGACGTCTGTCATTTGATTTCATACTGAGGCCTAGTCCACAAGTAGCCTTTTTTTTTTTTAAACGAATATCCGCCCCTCCAAAAACTTGCATCCACACCACCTTGTTTAAAATAAACCTCTGTCCACACGTACCGGATAAATACGTTGTTAAGGACATGCCAGACCTGTAGGCGGCAGTACTTCCCCCGTTCTTAACCTCGTCCTTCGTCTGTGGTCTTCCTCAAGGAGCAGTAATTCCGCTTGCAAAAACAAACAAGCAAAAAGTGCTTGGACAATTGATAAAGGAGCGCAGCTCTGAGGGCATCCATGCTGTCGACTAGTGTAAACACAGGTCGCACACGTGATGTCAGCATTTTTTTGTCGCAGAAAGTGACGTTGTGGACCTTAAAACTCCGGTTTTGTCTGTCCACACGCAGACACCCAAAACGGAGAAAACGCAGATCTTCACTTTGGCCGGAGCTTTTAAAAAGATCCGTTTTCGTGTGAAAAAACTCTGTTTTCGTGTGGATGACAGGCCAAAACGTAGAAACATATCTACGTTTTGGCAGATCCCCGGCTACATGTGGACAGGGCCTGAGTTACAATCAATCAGCAGAAGTTAATCAAAGATCCTGCCTAGTGACTACCAGGCCAATCGGAGTGCCTACCCCAGCTCAGATACCTGAAAATGGCCCAGAGAGTGATGCTTTCGGTCGGCCTGTTGAAGTGGAGCATGTCGTTCTGGTAGAAGAAACACGCCCAATCCCCCACAGATCACCCATCACCTGCTGTGTGTGTTCAGGCAGAGAAACCTCTAAATGTTCGATGTTTTCTTTGCACCTCTTCCTTTGGACCTGAACCCAACACACTCATGGTTGGATGGACCCTTGGTGTGAATGTGTGTGTGTCTCTGCTTCAGCACACCTGATTTCCATCAGTGGGTGATTAGCAAGCCTCTGCAGAGCTTGATGACCTGCTGAACAGTTAATTCGACCATTGAGTCAGGTGTGTTGGAGCAGGGAAACAACTTAAACATGTTGTTGGTAACTAGGCTAGATGCACATTCTCAGTGTCTGATGATAAAACTCTGGGTCTTGCCATTGTCAGTTCAGTCTTACATGGACGAGAACGCGGAGCCTAGGAAGAAACCCGTCCTCTATGAGGACCTGAGACACAAAAACAGAGAGAACTACGAGGTGACGCTCATTCAGAAGGCAGACACGATGGTCAGAGCTCCATCAGAGGAGTCAGAAAGGCCTAAAAAGCAGGGTAAGGTGCTACCAAAGAGATGTTCGAGGTGGATAGGGTAACACAAAGATAGGTTTGTTCAGGGAAAATCTGACATTTTTCTGTGATTTCTTATGTTTCAGTGAAGAAGAACATCTATGGAGACACGTGGGAGGAATAAGGCCGATGACTGGGTCCGAGCTGTGATAACACTGATGCTGCGGGACTCACTGATGACTTTTAGTCTAGTTTGTGTGAGTTTTTGAGTAAAAGACATTTGAAGCATAAATAAAGACAAACTGGATGGCTGATGATTTGTGAGTTTAACACTGATTTGACATTTGTTGGTTTTGATGTCCTCCCTGGGTATTTGTAACTGATCCACCTGGTCCAACGATCCTGTGTAAATGGACCAAGACGCTTATTATCACCCATGTGGTATTAGTTTATTCATTTACATCACATACTCCTGAGCACCAACAGATCATTTTATACTGCATGAAAGTGTGAATTTTATATTTAAGCTTTGGTAATTTCACAACATGAAAGGACCCTGATGTAAAGCTGGGACGATAAGCGATGGATGATGTTCATTCAGGGAATTCTAGGGAGCCGAAGTGTCCTCCCCTTCCTGTCGGCTCGTGGGTGATGTGAGTTTCGACTGTACGTCGCGTAATTTCAGATTTGTCAGCTTGTGAAAACTTGTAATTAAAATGACTACAAATCAGAAGTCGCATGAATGACGTCACAGCGGAATCCATTCTTCCCTAGCGTAGTTGCTACGTACCACACGGCCACATTTACGGTGGTTGTCACCATGTTTAATGCTCCTGTCATCCCGGAAGAAGGAATCAAACCTCGCTAGATTCAGTCATTTTTCTTCTCCGTTTCTGGTGCCGTGTCAGTTTGATGAGACGGGCATTTGCATTCCGTTACATCTTTTCACGTGAAGCCTAAAAATAAGGGCCGCCTGTTGAAAATCAGCTTTCTCTGCATCAGTGTTTCTTTAAAGTTCGCGGACATCACACGTGAACTCCGTGTCACTTAGCAAACAGGAAAGATAACTTCCTCCATAGACTTCCATTCATTCTTTGGGCAGTTGGGGACCCGTGGTCCGGAAGTAGATGAGCATGGCTGAAGCTCCCCACAGGCATTTATTAATATGGGGTTGTGCTGTGGGCACTAGAAGATTCTGTATAATTAGATATTAATTTGAAATATTAATATTTCCTAAAACTTTTTGTTTTACTTCTGCATTTACAGAAGTAATTTTAACAATCTAATGCAGCCACTACAGAATCATTCTAACAATACCTACGATGTAATTAAGTTAGATTAGCCTATTATATATAGATATATTTAGACTAGGGCTGCATGATATTAGGAAAACCTGCGATATTCGATAACAGTGATTAATATTGTGATGACGATATTACTTGCGCTAAATAAAAGCTTAACTCAGGAACAAAAATAATCGAAAACAAAGAAATAAAAAAATCATAAAAATGAGGGGGAAAAAATGATCAAGAAAAGGTGATCAGTGATCCCGAGAAAAGCAGAATCAGCAGAACAAAGCTAACTCGGGTGTTTGCTAACCATTAAAATTAAGTGCCGTCCACCTTGGGGGCGGGAATCTAACCTACGAGAACCCACCCGATTGGCCAAATGGGTGAAGAGCTCTATTTGATTTAAACATCTTGCTTCTGTTTGATTGACAGAACGCATTATGTGAAGCAAACATATGAGCTGACCATTCATTGCGATATTTTTGTTCTTTGCGATACGCATATTGCTCATGCTGATATCGCGATAACGATATATTTACGATATATTGTGCAGCCCTAATTTAGACTACAGTAGAACTGCAGTCTCAAACAAAACCTTATAAAAAGATTGTATGTTACAGAGATGTTAAGAATATGCCAGCTCAAAGCTCAGCATTGGTTTCATGTGGCAGAAAACATTTTTATCCGAGGTGTTTACATAAAGACCTTTAAGTTGAGTGATCTCGTATGTTAGATAAAAATATTTATTATAGAAACATTAGTAGCAGATACTAAAATGACAAAAACACCAGTGAGACTTAAAAGCACAGCTTTAAATGAATGTATACGTGACATCCTTCATGCTGATGCAATAAAACGTCGTTAAACAGAAGAACCATAACCACACTACTGTTTCTGTCCATGGCTGTGGTTGTGGGTACAGTTGTGTCCAAAGATCTGGCCTAACAAGTGTCCATGATTGTGTCCACCACCACGTGCTGCTGGAAGCTGTTCATGAAGATTCAAAGATGGCTTTGCACCAGGAGGCGTGTCGGTCATTTGTGGCCAGCCTTCGTAGGTTGCGGTATTGGCTGTGTTGGTGCTGGATAACGGAGCATATGCCTGGACTGGGTAGGACCCTGGAGTGGGGTTTATTTGCGGCAGAACAGTCTTCCTCCTTTCCTCCATGGAGGCAGGAACAAACATCACACCACTGATCCTCCTCAAAAACCTGAATGGCATCATTTTCTCCAGGACTGCAGCCCTGGCCTCAGACATGTTCATTGGGGAGAACCACCCTTTACCATACACCCACCCAATCAGGATGCCGATGGCGTTACAGAGCATCACGCTGCGAGGAATGAGGACAGTACAGAACACGAGGATCAGCCAAGGGAGGGCCACGGAGGGGAAACTGACCCCACAAAGAAACCCTCTGGTCATTTTAGTGTGCATGGTCGTCATAGCCACACAGGCCAGGGTCACGGGGAGCAGACCTTCGGTGGGAGTCCGCGTGTTTTCATCCTGCAGAAGATCCAGGAAACTGTAGAAGGCACCCGTGGTGGAGGACAGCAAGGGGAAGAGGAACAGGAAGTGGACAGTGCCGACACTTTTCTCCACACTTCCGCACAGAAACAGCAAAGCAGCAATGTTCAGAAGCAGCTGGCTCAGTGTTTGGTGGTAAAAGGGAAACAACAGGAGTCTGTGCAGGTGTCCGCTTTGAAAAACGACAACCCCGATGCTAAAGACCCCCTGAGTCAAGTTCAAAAAAGTTTGAAGGCAAAACAAAACACACGAGCCTAGGCCCACTGTGAGAATCCCACTGGTGGGAACAGGAGCTACATTCTTGAACGCTTTGAAGAACATTTTAAACAACCACTAAAGACACGAGACGAAGGAGTGTGGCGCCTGACCTCGGTCCGCTCTGAGTCCGGACCGCTACAATACCTTCTGGGTGGGTGGGACACGCATCACTACTTCTGCAGGGTTTGTTGTGTCGCGCGACAGCTTGGGAGCGTTCATCTTTGAAAGGAAATAGCTGTTTTTGTCAATATCCTTCAAAATAAGATTAGTTGATACATACTCGAACTTGTTTTGCAATCATTTATATCTACAAAAATATTTTTTGAAACACATATAGTACTATTATTTTGTAAACTGCAGAAAATGTCAAGGAAACTACTATGACCTTTATAAAGAACACTTGTATATTATTTTGAAGGTAATGCGTAATATCCGGTGCTTTAACTTCCTTCCTCGTCAATATTTTTGATTTATTTTTCATGTTTATTACTCAATAGCTTATTAAAGGCGTTGTGAAAATACTTCAACTTAAACAATTATGCTCATATAATTTGCTAATATTTATTAATTCACAGAACTGTTAGAGGGCTGCCAACTCTCACCCAGTGAGCGTGAGACACACGCTTTTGACTGACTTCACACGCTCTCACCCCACACCACCACCTTCTCACGCTGAAATAAATTAATCTATTTGAGAAATTTGCCAAACAGGACAACTTAATCCAGTCTTGTTTACGAGTTGAAACCTTGTCTGCCACCTAGTGGACAAAACCTGTCACTACAGGTTCGTGTTAATAAAGCTGAAAGATAAAACTCATAAGCACTTCCTGTAGACTCATACAAAATAAAAAGTACACTTAAAATTGTTTGGGTTTTAAATGAGCGTTAACAGCATAGTTAGTCTAAATAACGGAAAAGCCTAAACTTCATCACATGTACTACTTTACTAAATCTCAAGAAATCTGTTTTAATTATCCGTCTTCAACTAGATTAAATCAACAAGCCAAAGCAGGATATGTAGCCTTTTTTTCAAAACCTTATTGCACAACAAACGAATTTTATACAAATAACACATACCAGAGTGTTTACTATACAATTGTTACATATATTCAAAGAAATTGTAGGTACTGCAAATAGTGAATTTTAAGGCTTTTTAATTTTGTGATGCACTAGTCAATTTTATGAGTGTCATTATAATAGTGTTTAAAATGAGGTTTTTGGTTACTACACTTGCATTTGTGGAGATAGAATTTAGCTAGAATAATTAACAAATTCATACAGTATACATCTTCCCTTTTGTGCTTGCAAGACAAAAAATCTTCCCATTTTAAAATGAAGTCCTTGTAGAGCTGTCCAATAATAAATCTTCTAAACTGTTTCAAAAATGTTATAGTATGTGGACAGAACCAAAAGTGGTGCTGAACGGTCTCACGGTGGCACAAAAGCAACAAACAGGTCACATCAATGTCCCTCTTAAATAAACTCTGTCACTTAATGATTTGCTGGATAACGTTTATGAAGTATTCTGAATTTATCTCCTTTGATCTTATTTGTTACTAAACACTTGTTAGGAATGGTCCATACTCTTTTCCAAGTAATATCAGTAATAAAGGAATTCCACAAAGAAATCACTTGTGGAACAGATAAGGATTCTCACATGCCCTCTGGCGGCCGTAGGGGGAAATTAATCCAAGGTGAATTTTGAGGGATTTTACTCTTAATAAATTAATTAAGTTTTTAGTATTTAATATAAAATGTGTTTAGTTACAAATTTCCCAGCAAACGTTTGTATTTTCTAATCAAACATGACAGGAAAAGCTATTATTTGTTAGTTCTAAGACCAATAAATACCCAGCTACATCTAATAAACACACACAGACATATATATATATATATATATATATATATATATATATATATATATATATATATATATATATATATAAACATTTCATATTTTATTCTAAACAGGAAACGCAATAATATATTTGGAGTTCACAATGAATGTAAAAACTACCCAAATAAATTAAATAAAAACCAAATACATCAAAAGTAACCAGTAAAAAACTGAAATGTAGTTTTTTTAGTGTTTGTTCTTTGTCTAAATAAACTTTTAATAACTACTAGTAATCTCTCATTTGATTTGATTGATGGCTATATACTCTGTACAAGAGATTTGTATGTATTATTTGAGGTACATGGAAACACTAGAACTCAAATCTGGCTTTCGACATTTCCGTCCTCTAGCGGTCAAAAAGTGTTTCTACAGGCAGTTTTAATGAAGCTAAACAAGGTATAACTCTTTAGCCCTTCCTGTAGATTCCTTCAAAGTAAAATTTATGTTAACATCGTTAGTTTAGATAACTGGAAAACCAGAACTTTATTTATTTATACAAACTACTTAACCACTAAAACTCTATAAATGTATTTTAATAATCTGTGTTCAACTAGATTAAATCAACAAGCAGTGGGCACAGGGCGAAAATTAATCCAAGATAGACTTAGATTTAAAGGGATTTTACTTTTAATAGGTTAAGTTTTTAATAGGTAATATTGTCATCGTTGTCTTCCTCCGCTTATCCAGGTCCGGGTCGCGGGGGCAGCATCCCAACTAGGGAGCTCCAGACCGTCCTCTCCCCGGCCACCTCCACCAGCTCCTCCAGCAGGACCCCAAGGCATTCCCAGACCAGATTGGAGATGTAACCTCTCCAACGTGTCCTGGGTCAACCCGGGGGCCTCCTGCCGGCAGGACATACCCGAAACACCTCACAAGGGAGGCGTCCAGGAGGCATCCTGACCAGATGCCCAAACCACCTCAACTGACTCCTTTCATCCGGAGGAGCAGCGGTTCTACTCCGAGTCCCTCCCGAATGTCAGAGCTCCTCACCCTATCTCGAAGGCTGAGCCCGGCCACCCTTACGGAGGAAACTCATTTCGGCCGCTTGTATACGCGATCTCGTTCTTTCGGTCATTACCCAAAGCTCATGACCATAGGTGAGGATTGGGACGTAGATCGACCGGTAAATCGAGAGTCTGGCTTTCTGGCTCAGCTCCCTCTTCACCACGACAGATAAGCTCAGCGTCCGCATCACTGCAGATGCCGAACCAATCTGCCTGTCGATCTCCCGATCCCTCCTACCCTCACTCGTGAACAAGACCTGGAGATACTTAAACTCCTCCACTTGAGGTAGGACTTCTCCCCTGACCCGGAGCTGGCAAGCCACCCTTTTCCGGTCGAGAACCATGGTCTCAGATTTGGAGGTGCTGATCCTCATCCCAGCCGCTTCACACTTGGCCGTGAACCTACCCAGCAAGAGTTGAAGGTCAGAGCTGGATGAAGCTAGGAGCGCCACATCATCTGCAAAAAGCAGAGACGAGATTCTCCTGCCACCAAACTCGACACACTCCACACCACGGCTGCGCCTAGAAATTCTGTCCATAAAGGTAATGAACAGAACCGGTGACAAAGGGCAGCCCTGGCGGAGTCCAACCCTCACCGGGAACAGGTGCGACTTACTACCGGCTATGCGGACCAAACTCACGCTCCTCTGGTAAAGGGACTGAATGGCCCTTAACAGAAAGCCACCCACCCCATACTCCTGGAGCGTCCCCCACAGGGTGCCCCTGGAGACACGGTCATAAGCCTTCTCCAAATCCACAAAACACATGTGGATTGGTTGGGCAAACTCCCATGCCCCCTCCATCACCCTTGCAAGGGTATAGAGCTGGTCCACAGTTCCACGGCCAGGACCAAAACCACATTGCTCCTCCTCAATCTGAGATTCAACTATCGATCGGACCCTCCTCTCCAGTACCTTGGAGTAGACCTTTCCAGGGATGTTGAGGAGTGTGATCCCCCTATAGTTGGAACACACCCTCAGGTCACCCTTCTTAAAGATGGGGACCACCACCCCGGTCTGCCACTCCACAGGAACTGCCCCCGATGACCACGCAATGTTGCAGAGACGTGTCAACCATGACAGCCCTACAACATCCATAGCCTTGAGATACCCAGGACGAACCTCATCCGCTCCCGGGGCTCCACCGCTGTGTAGTTGTTTGACTACCTCAGCAACTTCTGCCCCCAAGATTGGACAGTCCATCCCCAGGTCCCCCGGCTCTGATTCCTCCTCGGAATGCGCATAGGTGGGATTGAGGTTCTCCTCAAATATTCCTTCCACCGTCCGACTATAGCCCCAGTTGACATCAGCAACTCCCCATCCCCACTGTAAACAGTGTGAGCGAGTTGCTGCCTTCCTCTCCTGAGGTGCCGGACAGTTTGCCAGAAACTCTTTGGAGCCGATCGATAGACTTTCTCCATGACCTCACCAAACTCCTCGCTTGGCTATCGGGTACCTGTCTGCTGCCTTCGGAGACCTACAGACCAGCCACGCCCTGTAGGCCTCCTTCTTCAGCCTGACGGCTCCCTGAACCTCTAGTGTCCACCAGCGGGTACGGGGGTTGCCACCACGACTGGCACCGGCCACCTTGCGACCACAGCTAGCAACAGCCGCCTCAACAATCGCAGAGTGGAACAAGGCCCACTCTGGGTAAATGTCCCCCACTGCTCTCGGGACGCGGTCAAAGCTCTGCCGGAGGTGGGAGTTGAAGACCGTCTTAACAGGTTCTTCTGCCAGGCGTTCCCAGCAGACCCTCACTATGCGTTTGGGTCTGCCAGGTCTACACGGCATCTTCCCCTGCCATCTGATCCAACTCACCACCAGGTGGTGATCAGTTGTCAGCTCTGCTCCTCTCTTCACTCCGGTGTCCTAAACATACGGCCGCAGGTCAGATGATATGACTACAAAGTCTATCATTGACCTGCGACCTTGGCTGCCCTGGTACCAAGTGTACCGATGGGCATCCTTATGTTCGAACATGGTGTTCGTTATGGCCAAACTGCGGCTTGCACAGAAGTCCAATAACAAAACACCAGTCGAGTTCAGATCAGGCGGGCCGTTCCTCCCAATCACACCCCTCCAGGTCAAGCTGTCATTGCCCACGTGAGCATTGAAGTCCCCCAGCAGGACAATGGAGTCCCCTGATGGAGCACTATCTAGCACTCGTCCCAGGGACTCCAAAAAGGGTGGGTACTCTGAACTGATATTTGGCCCATAAGCACAAACAACAGTCAGGACCCGTTCCCCGACCCGAAGGCGCAGGGAAGCTACCTTCTCATCCCCCAGGGTAAACCCCAACACACAGGCAGAGAGTCTTGGAGTTAACAAAAAGCCAACCCCAGCCCTCCGCCTCTCACCCGGGTGCAACTCCAGCAAAGGAGAGTGTCCCACCCCTCTCAAGGACTTGGGTTCCAGAGCCAATGCTATGTGTCGAGGTGAGTCCGACTATATCTAGCCGGTACCGCTCAACCTCTGCCACAAGCTCCTGCTCCTTCCCCGCCAGTGAGGTGACGTTCCATGTCCCAAAGTCCAGTTTCCTTGTCCGGGGATCGGACCACCAAGGCTCCCACCTTGGTCTGTCACCCAATCCACACTGCACCGGACCCTTCATGCTCCTCCTGCAGGTGGTGGGTCCACAGTTGGATGAGCCCATGTATCCGGTTCGGGCTGGGCCCGGTCAGGCCCCATGGGCGAAAGCCCGGCCACCAAGCGTTCGCTCACGGGCCTCAACCCCAGGCCTGGCTCCAGGGTGGGACCCCGGTAAGTTAACCCTCCGGGCCGGGTACTCCGACTCTTTGAATTTACATCCATGAAAGATCCTTTGAACCTTTCTTTGTCTCACCCTTCACCTAAGACCAATTTGTCATGGGAGACCCTACCAGGGGCACAAAGTGCCACAGACAACATAGCTCCTAGGATCATTAGGGCACTGAAACTCCTCCACCACGATAAGGTGACGGTTCAAGGAGTAGTAGGTAATATTGAATAAACTAATTTAGTTATAAAGTTTTATCAGCAGGCGTGTGTAATTTCTAATCAAATATATTATATCTATAAAAAAACATCCGAAAGTGAATTTCCAAAAAACAAGTACAACTATCACCAAGAAAGAAATGAGAATGAGGTAAACATGTTTTTAACAAATGAAATAAAAAATGAACAAAAGACGAATAGAATTTTTAAGAGTAGAAAACCAAAATGAAAATGTGATTTTATTCTATTTTTACCATTTTTTCCCCTTGCCTTATTTATTATGATATATTTTTTGCCATGTTTATTTATTTTTAAGCTCTTTATTTCTGTTAGTCTGGATTCAGGCGAATATGGTTATATTCATTAATAATTTTTTTTTCTTTATGTGTGTGTGTGTGTCAAATTCAGAAAAAGGAAACAAAAACTAAGTAACAATTTATTTGAGTGACTATGATAGAAACTACAAACAAAAAGACGTAAGGACGTCGGTCCCACTTCCGGTGTCGTACAGCTACTGCGGCGGATGTTGATGTTTTGTTAGTAGCTCGCCTCGGACAGCGATGGGAGCTACTTGATATTTTTGTGGTCATCCTCTCTGTTCAGTGCGCGTTTCTCTGAGAGGTTTCCGTGGTTCTCGGTGTCGTTTCTCTCCCGGTGTCTTTACCGGGGTGAGATCGAGTCGGGAGATGATGGAGGACTTTGATGAGATCTACGAAGAGGAGGAAGAAGAAGAGGACGAGGACAGGGCCGCGGAAGAGCAGCTCCTCAAGTATGCTCCGGACCCGGTGGTGGTGCGAGGCTCCGGCCACGCTACTGTGTAAGCTACCGGCGGGACTGGCGGGGATCGTTCCCGGTAAAAGACAACTTGTCGGGGTGTGAGGGGAAACTTGCGGACTAGCTGGTGACTTAGCCGAGTTAGCTAGCTGCTAACAACTGGCTACAGTGAGCAGTTAGAGGACGGCGGTGAAGAGTTTGTTTTGTTTTCTCATCGTGAATTCACCATAATAATTGTGTTATTTTAGCCACTGACAAGTCAGCCCGCTGTTGATACCAACGGCACTCTTTGTCGAGCATTCAGCATTGTTTTTTAATTATAAAAACAAAGTTACTGTGGTTAACTATATTTACTAACGTCCGTTTCATTCCTCATATGTAACAGCTGGACTCAGTTTCCCGAATCTTGTCTCTTCCGGTCAGACTTTTTCGAGTTTAGACGGTTTACACATAAAAAATACTAGATGATACTGTTCACCCAAGCTGCTCCATCTTCTTGGTGTAGATATTCTGAAGCATCTAAAATGTACCTTTTTATGCTGCAAGAGTTTAAAACCTGGCCTGAATTATTTATTTTCTTTCAAATATCTTAAACATTCTGCCAACCCTTTCTAGATGTATAGTCAGTATCTCCAGGCTTTTTGAAGTGGTCTCAAGGTTACTTTAAGGTGCCTTTTCACCAATTTGCTGCCAACTTTTTTGTCCAAAAATAAGCCGCCCTCTGGATTTCAGATCTAGAATCAGTGCAGTTGGTCAGGCCTAGGTTCAGCAACATCATGTGCCCCAAGAATGAGGTCTGCTGAACTTACTGAATAATCAGATTAATCCATCAGTGGGGTTTTTCTTCCCTGATGGCATGTTCCCAGATAACAGTGCCAGGAGCCATCAGTCTCAAACTGTGGAAGAGTGGTTCAGGGAGCACGAGACACATGGATCGTCCACCGCAGAGCCCAGACTATAACATCACTGAGTCTCTGGGGTATGCCAGAAAAGGCTTTGTGCAGCGGTTGGACTCTCAAGGTCTTGGTGGAAAAATAATGCAACACTGTATGAAAAGAAAAACTTGTAAATAAGTGAAGTTAAACATCTGAACAAAGATTGCAATAACCCGAGATGGAGAAAAGATAACTTGTCTGCTTGTTTTGTTCCTGTTTAAATGAAGAGATCAGCTGTGTATCGAATGTGGCAAAAGAATATACTTCACACCACCAGAAACAACATAATGCGGTACTAAAAGCCAGATCAAGACTGAATTTAAGTAGAAAACTCACCCAAGACACATCCAGTGTTATCGCAACATCTTGTTCCATCAGAATGTAGGCGGTTAAAAACTGCTGCCACCTAGCAGACGGAGTGAACTACGCCACACAAACAAATTACAGTAAATGTTTGCATGTAAATTCTCAGTAGAAATCGATACACAGCATTTAATTATTGATTCAGTATCATAAAACAGAATATCACAATATTTCAGTTATATAATCCCTAACATAATCTCTGTTATGTTTACATATTGTATAAAAGCAGAGGCTATGCTGTGAACTGGTTTGTGAATCAGCTGATCTTGTTCTTGTCATTTTCTCTTTTAGGCCGGGGACACACTGGCCGCGGAAGCGCCGCGAAGCGCCGCGAAAATGGGACCGCCTTCATTCGGCGCCCTTGTTAAGCTATTCTATAGACCACATGGGCCGCCGAAGCGTCGCGAATCGCCTCGCGCCGGCGCGCGCCGGCGCTCCAGCCCGCGCCGTGCAGCGATCATTTCGGCGTTGGCTCTATTTTTTTCGCGAGCCGCGGGTGAATCGCGTCAATTCTGGCAGGAAGTCAAACGTAGACATAAGAGGCAGGCCGGTAAAGTTAACAAAATAAAGCATTTCAAAATAAAATTCCGCAATAGTCAAATGTGTTCGTAAACAGACACTGCAGAGAAACCACACGAACACGCACACACATACACACACATCGAACTTGTGTGCGTGTGTGACCACGTGAAGGGGGGAGTGGTTTTGGGTGTCTTTTCACCGGAGCAAACAGGACAGAGAGGCAGAAAGTCTGAGGCAAGCAGTTAGGATGGATGACTTTAAATTAATTATGGAAGTTGAGAAACACAAGGAGCTGTACGACCCCCGAAAAACATGATTGTTTACGTACCCATGTCGGAAGAAACTGCTAGGATACAGCTGCAGAATTGGAGCGGGTTCCAAGAGATTCAACTGGCAGAAACAACTCATACCATAGGTTCACACACACACACGCGCGCGCACGCACGCGCACAAACACTCAAACGTAGGAAAAGAGCTGAGAAAAGGCAGAGAGGAAATGGAGGACACCAAGTGTTTAAAAGAAAAACTACAGCTGAGCCGAGGCGCGCCTCGACTGGGGCGCGTCTGATCTGAACTGAGGAGCGGCGAGCAGCGGCCGAATTTCGTGAGCGATTCGCTTCTCGGCGCTTCGCGGCGCTTCCGCGGCCGGTGTGTCCCCGGCGTTAGTTACAAATTTAGAATCACATGAACCTTCATCCTGCTGTTTAAAGCAAACTAAACCGTAATCGTATGATCAGCTATGCCGTGTTGAGCTTATTTCACTTTATCTGTAGGTTTTCAGTTTAACTCGTAAAACTTCTTTCCGGAGTATTTCTCTTATCCGATGGCTCCATCTAGTGGCTCACAAGCATATCACACAAAAAAATCTGTTGCTCTGTTTAAGATCGCAACTTCACGTATAAATGTGCATCTGTAGCCGACAAACAGATCTAAAACACGTTGTTTTACGAGTATTATTCTCATGTCATGTTGTGTTCTCATATATTTATATTTTAGAGACTTACTTGTCCATGAAAAGTTCATCAACTCTGCATCAGCCGAGGTATTCCTTAAATTTGATGCAAGTAAGAGGTAGTCTAACGCTGTTGGTTAGTTCTGATCGGCACTCAGTTTCCTATTGCACGGAGCTCTGCGGGGCAGGGGGCGTGCTTGGCAAAGATAAATAAATAAATAAAAGACACATTGCTTACATTTTATCACAGTACATGATGAGACAACCGCTTTTATGGATTTCTGAAAAATCATACATCATTTCTGAAAGCGGAAAACTCCAGAAAGCAGCTTTAAAAGGGATGTAAGAAAATATCGATATAACAATGCCATACCATACCAATTTATTTATAAAGCACCATTTCAAAATAGCATGGCAGCTAACCAACCTGCTGTACAGAAAAGAGCCAAATGCTTGAACAAATCAACAAAGCACAATGAAAGCATGAAAATCAGGTAAAATACATAAAAACATAGCATAAATAATCAGGGATAAATATTCCTACTAAAAACAATAGAATAAGAGAGCAGTTAACTGCACTATCAAAAATAAAAATTAATGCGATGAATGATAAAAAACATTTGAAATGGCACAAATAAAACCAAAGACGCTACAAGATTGTGAAAGGTGTTAAAAGTAAGCTACTGAATCATAAAACCTAAATTGAGAAAAATAAACTCGGTGCTGGATTTTCACGTATATCGTGATATTTTTTCTTTTGACATTACAGTGATATTCAAAAGCCATGTATCTAACTTTTGGAAGAATTTACTTGCAAACATTTGTGTATTTTCTTTTCTTTTGGTGCAGTTCAAACGCCAACCACTAGTTGGCAGCAATGTGCAATGGGTTTTGTTTCCACCATGGAAATGGAAATCTCTCTATTGTGGTTCATATACCTCATGTTTATGTGTTTAGCAGACACTTTTTTCCTAAGCGACTGACGCCGGGGACACACCAGCCGCGAAAAGGGGACCGCCTTCATTCGGCGCCCTTGTTATCCTATTCTATAGACCACATGGGCCGCTGAAGCGCCCCGGCACGTTCCCGCGCACGTCTGCGCTCCAGCCTGCGCCGTGCAGCGATCGTTTCGGCGTCTGCTCTATTTTTTTCGCAAGCCGCGGGTGAACCGCGTCAATTCTGGCAGGAAGTCAAACCTAGACATAAGAGGCAGGCCGGTAAATTTAACAAAATAAAGCATTTCAAAATACAATTCCACAATATTCAAATGTGTTCGTAAACAGACGCTGCATAAAAACCACACACACACACACACACACACACACGCACACGCACACACACACACACACACACACACACACACACACACACACACACACAGAGCGAACTTGTGTGTGTGTGACCACGTGAAGGGGGTGTGGTTTTGGGTGTCTCTCAACCGGAGCAAACAGGACAGAGAGGCAGAAAGTCGTAGGCCAGCTATTAACAACTGGGTCACACCATAGGTTCACACACACGCGCACAAACACACACACAAACGGCAAGGGGGAGGGGGGTGTAGAGGAAAAGAGCAGAGAAAAGGCGGAGAGGAAATGGAGGACACCAAGTGGTTAAAAGAAAAACTACGAGGCGCGCCTCGACCGGAGCGGAGAAACAAGCGTCTGGTCTGAACTGAGGAGTAGCGAGCAGCGGCCGAATTTCGTGAGCGCTTAGTTTCCCGGCGCTTCGGCGGCCGGTGTGTCCCTGGCGTAATCAGTCAATCCTAGGTGGCAGTGAGGCAGCATGATGAATCATAAAGGGAAGTGAACAAGGAGTGGACAGTAGAGTGGGGGATGAGTGCAGGGGGGGGGGGGGGGGGGGGGGGTCCTAGTTTAGAAGATGTTTTCTGAAGAGCTGGGTCTTGAGGAGTCATTTTAAGCATGTTTAAGTATCAGTTCGGACATTTAATTGAATATTACAATAAATTCAGTAAAAAAAACACTCATTAAGTTTGACTGAATGTATCACAATATATCGTGATACATTGTATTGTCTACTCTGTATTGTGATACGTAACGTGTCGCCAGCATTTTACCAACATTCATCCCTAATAGTTAAAATAACATGTTTTGTTTCCTTTTATTACACAGATTTGGACTCAGCAACAAATTTGAATCAGAATTTCCTTCAGCGCTTACAGGAAAGGTGAGTGAGCCATCAGGCCCTCTTCCTGCATCTCCCTTTGCCCTTCCTATCAATCAATCAAGCTTTATTTGTATAGCACTTTTAATATACAAACAATGCAGCTCAAAGTGCGTTACAGGTTAAAATCGCCTCATATAACCCATAATCCCATCATTTCCCCAAAAATATAAAAATAATTATGACCGTTGCCCCCCCCCAAAAAATAAATCCCACAACCCATTTCCTAAGGAACATGCACACACACACGAACAACAAATACACACATGCACACACACACAAAACTTAAAATAATTAAATAAATAAATAAAATATAAGTAAACACTAGGCCGAGTTCAGATGGGTTAGGTAACGAATGACACGCCGTCAGGTGAGCCATCTGCCTCGGTAGTAGTCGATCGACGGCAGCAGCAAAGGCACCAGCCAGGACTCCCAGGGAGGTAGGGCGAAAACCCCCACATCCGTCTAAAAACTCCCAGAGGTGCACCCAGGCCGCCACAGTCGACCACCACCCCCGAGGCAGAGGGCCCCACAGAGGAAAACGCTGGCACGAACAGATAAGTAGCATAAAAAAGAATAAAAGCTAATATGGATAGTAAAATAACTAATAAAGTGACTAAAAGATAGTAAAACTCTAAGACATAAATGTCTAATAAAACTAAAATATAAAAATAAAACAAGCAATTCAGCTAAAAACAGATATCGATTAAAAGCTATGGTGAAAAGGTGAGTCTTAAGCCCGCTCTTAAAAACATGAACGTTCTCTACGACCCTGAGGTTCCTATCCAGTTCTCTCAGCGCCTTGCTTTGATTTTCTGCATTAAACTGCGAAAGAGGTCAAATTAAACCTTTATCATCACTTTGTAGAAAAGAAAAACAGAATTAGAAGGTGTCGTTGACTCAGTGGGAGCCATGCAAGCTAGAAAGACGGGACTCATAAGACCAGTAAGAAGAAAAAAAAACTTTATATATCCAGATCATAGATGAGAAGTAGACTTATGGAAGTGAATGGCACTGGTTCGGTCACTGGGAAAAGGATACGAGGAGGTTTAGTTGGGAATTAGGGGCCATGGTTGCTCCTTTCTAAGGAGGTTTGTTCTGGTTGTCTTTCTACTCGATATCTTGCCTGATGAGTCTTCGGAGATATGCTCTGCCTCCTTACGTCAGGATGTGTGGATTTGCTCCAAAGTTGGGAGGGAGCAGCCATCTTCTGCCATCCTGATTAGCACATGGAGTGCTCCCCTCTTGTTAACCCCCCCACACACACACACAAACACACTCCAAATATCAGCACACGCTCGATAGATCACTGATTAAAAACCAGCATCAGGTTTATGGGAGACGGTTCTTCCACTGGGTTCCTCAGAAGATGCAATCTCTGCTGCGCTTTCTTCAGCACCTCCTTGATGGTGGCGCTTCCTTTCAGGTCCTCATCCAGCTGAACCGTGGCACACACGACACGCAGGCCCCACAGATGATGAGTGGCTGGATCTCAGCCTTGTTCTTTCTGAAGTCGATGAAAAGCTCCTTTTGTTTTGGAGCTGTTGACTCAGCACCACTCCGACACCTGCTCCACCTCATCCCTGTTTGCTAACTCGACTACAAGGACCTTAAACTTTCTGTAGTTTATCTTTTGTGTTTCTTTTTTTTTTAAGGCTACTTTAGCCAATAAGCTGACATCCTACTTTTTCCTCACTCATAATCAACTGGATTTAAAAGGTCATGACCCCTGTGGTTGGACCTCTTGCTTAAGGGATTTAACATTTCTTCCTAGAAAAGATTAAGTACACAGTCTTTGAAAGCATTCCGCAGATTATTTTCTAACACATAGCCTGAAAACAAAATGCGATTTGATCCGTTAAATCAGATTAGAGTCTGCCTTCTAACTCTCTGCTCAGACGCCGCAGTTGTTATGGGTGATGAGATTTGAGACATTCCTCGGCTGATGTTTGTGACAGGGTAGCTCAGTTAATACATGTATTTATAGTTTTAGGGCCTAACGATGAGCTGCAGTGATCATGTTGGATGAGAGTGACTCCAGAAGTTTGTCGGTTGCAATCAATGTTTGTTTTGAAGAACGCAGAACACTGGTTAACTTTTTTGTGACTGGTCTTCTGGAAGGTGGCGCCAGAGGAGTTCAAAGCCAGCATCAACCGAGTAAACAGCTGCCTGAGGAAGACTCTTCCCGTAAACGTGCGCTGGCTCCTGTGTGGTTGTCTCTGCTGCTGCTGCACCCTGGGCTTCAGCCTCTGGCCTGTCATTTGTCTCAGCAAGAGGGTGAGAACCGGCACCATCCACTCCCTCTCACCACAGGACAAGCCATGCTGCATTTCCTGCAGCCCCTCCACCATCAGATACCGCAGATGGAAGCTTTTTGATGATGACATCATTGCTGACATCACTTTTGTCTTTCAGACGAGACGATCGATGGAGAAACTTTTGGAGTGGGAAAACAACAGACTTTACCACAAGGTGCGTTGCTAACGATTATGTTTGGATTAACGTGGACCTTTTGTAGGATGTGTTACCAAACCCCTAATCACCATTCTGTTCTGGTTACAGTTGTGTTTACATTGGAAACTTAGCAAAAGGAAGTGTGAAACCAATAACATGATGGAATATGTGAGTATATGTTCGTTTGGGCTTTATTTGTGGGTGAGTTAGTTCTAAATGTGCCTTTCAGCCCTCGACACACATGCACAGTACTGCTATAAGGGGTCATCCATGGCGTCACCGGAGAGTCCCAAACAGTCATGGCGAAGTCGGCCACCGAGCGCGAACGTTTGGGAGCATTTTATAACAATTCAAGAGAAGCATGTGCAGAATCTGCCAGGTCGAACCTGCCTTCCATGGCAGTGCGATGGCGATTCACAAGCAATCTTCAAAGGAAGCACGCTGTGGCCGACGACAAAGAGCTAATTTGCTAGTTAGCTGCTAACACCAACAGTGAGCTACTTACTTTATTGATAGCTGGAACATTAACGTTTCCTTTATTTTTACATGTTGCAAAGCTCATCAAAAGCCATCATCTTAATTGTCTTTATTATTATTATTATTATTATTATTATAACACTTCAAGCTAGAAGCTAATAATGGTTGTGTTGGAGTAGATTCATGCTAGTGCTAAAAGCTACGGTGTACCCATGATCCGATTAGTTGACTAATGGGAAAAAAAACTGGTGATTAATCAACTATCAAAATAATCATCTTTGGCAGCCCTAATTAGAAATAAGCTGTTGTAAAATTCAAATATTGGTTTAAAATGCATGTAGACCAGATCTAATAAAATGTATTTTCACAAGAACAAAAAGCATGGTCAGTCGGTGTTGCAGAGCAGCTATGGAAGCCTGGAGGTCTAAGCAGTGTGTGTATGTCATAACTGGCATTTCGCAAAGCCCTAGTCTGTTAAACAATTTAGAAGAAATTTCTCCCCCACAAATAAAAAAGTCACATTTTCACCATTGAGGTCTTTGTCTAAGACCCGTGACTGAACACCTGTTTGTTTTCCCACATGTAGGTGATCCTAATAGAGTTCCTACCCAAGATCCCCATCTTCAAACCGGACTAATCTAACCACAGAAGGGCCAGAGCGCCCCCTGCTGTCATGCGTTGTCACTAAACTACAAAGGCTGTAAAGCTCCTGAGAAATTACTACCCCTGAAATACTCCAGTATTTGTGTTTATTTTTTTTCCTCTTTGACCTTTGCCCTCAGACATGTGCTCTCTGCATCCTTGTTTACAAACCCAGCACTCACACTTGCTTTTGAAGGAATTTGCCATTGAACTTTGACCTTGTGCTCCAACTGGAGTTCTGCTGACCTGTTTGAGGAGAACCGGCCTTGGGCAGTGATGTGGATTTAAAACTTTATCGGAAGACGGTACAAAAACTGGAGTTTCGACACTTTTTATGGTTCCTAACTTAAGCACATGGCACAGTCGGACCATGATCGGACTCTTTAATACGTCACACACTCGGCACCGTCAGCTTCACCTGAAAATAACACAGCTCGGTGTTTCCAGCTGTTGGATCAGTGCCCTCGATCTCAGAGGTGGAACATCGAAGTTCATCAAAATCAACATGTTCAGTCTCGCAGCAGGACGTTGGGGCTGTGACCATCAGACATCTCGGCTCCATGCACCACCCGTGACAATCACAGTCTGACTACACTGTTCATAGCGTGAATGTCTGTGATGCACAGTTTACTTTTGATTTTAGCTTTGTGTGTCCAGGTGACGGTTGGAAGTGTAAAAAATGGTCAGTGGTGACGGAGAAAAAGACTTTTTTTGGCTTTTTCCTCTTTTTTGGGGGGGTATCAGGACTTGTTTACCATATTGGTGAAGGAGAGTCAGCTGGTTCCTGTAGAAGAAAGTGTGTGTGAGAGTGTGTGGAAAAAATGTAAGTTGAAACAAAGATCGGACACAAAGTGGAACACTAGAGCAGAGCTTTGTCTTCGACGTGCCCTCCGCCATAGCTACTTTTTGTAAACATATAGTTTGTTTTTGCAAAGTTAATTTGTTTATTTTAAATTTGTGGTCATGTGTCAACACGGAAACAGATGACTGCTTCGTTCTTCACACCATGAGCCGTTTGTCCCAAGTGCTTACCCTGGTTTACGTTAAAGTCGAGGAAAACTACGAAGGTTAAGTTATGAAGAATGATTATAAAAGCTTGGTTTTCCCCGGTCATGAATATGGAAGAAAAAAACTAATGGACAGTTTATGCATGAAAAAGTCATGTGAATACTTTTAATTGTTTGTTTGTTTTTTTAAAAAAAGGAAAATTACAGGCAAATCCTTCAAATCTCAAGTAAAATAAGTTATAATTTCTGTTTAACGTTTACCTGGCTAACAGTCTGTGCCAAATATTAATTTTTTTTTGTAATTCCCTGGTATAAATAAAGTACATTTCATTTTTATTAACATTTTCTTGAAGCTAAGAGAAAAGGTGAGATTGACAGACTACTTTCATGAGTCTGGTCTGCTTTCAGTGTTTGAGCCGTTTTCACGCCAGTGTTCAAACATCCCGATCCAAATCAGCGTATTAAACACACCCATCTTGTTTCAGCTCACCCAGCTCTGGTGATCGCACGGCTGGCTCTCAGGGGAGATTATCTACAAAATGTAGCATAAAAACTAATCTTATTGTCAGGTATGATCCAAAGTTACACCAGGGTGTCATAAACAACAGAGGCCACACGCTACTTGAATAATTGTACAATTATGCATTTGAAAAATGACTAATTATAAAGTGTGTGATCTTTGTGTTCAGATTACAGGGGAAGCACACACACATCACAGACCCACACACGCAGGTGTAGTGTTAGTTTGACGGGGAAAAACAACTCATCTGTTCATCCTTCACTTTTCTACTCCTGATTGTTTTTGTAAATCAAGGCACGGGGCTTTTTTTAATGGTGTGTGTGTGTGCGTGCACAGTTTATGCCAGATGCAAACGTACTTCATAGATATGACTGTGAATGGAATCTGCACAGAGTATAAGGCCTTTTTATATGATCGTGTGTGTGTGTGTGTGTGGGGGGGGGGGGGGGTAACAACATGTTGATGTATGTACAGTGATAAATAACCAATAAACAAGGAAATGGGCCTCATCCTCTGTAATGTGTCATCTTTTGGCTCAAGTTGGCTTCTGGTTAGAGGGTCCCACCACAGCTTTATTTTTCCCTTCCTGACCATCTATGATCAGACTTTGGACTCAAATGCACTGCATGGCAAAAAAAAAAAAAATCGTCACCAAAAAACACTAATATTTTATTTGACTGCCTTTGGCTTTGATCACAGCATACATTCACTGTGGCATTGTTTCAATGAGCTTCTGCAATGTCGCAAGATTTATTTCCATCCAGTGTTGCATTAATTTTCACCAAGATCTTACATTGATGATGGTAGAATCTGACCGCTGCACAAAGCCTTCTCCAGCATATGCCAAAGATACTCAGTGGGGTAAAGGTCTGGACTCTGGTGGCCAATCTATGTGTGAAAACGATGGCTCATTCAATTAAATTCTGTTTATATATAAAGCACCAAATCACGACAATAGTCATCTCAAGGCACTTTACAAAGTAAACATTCCAGTGCAGTTCAGTTCACTAAGCCAGTCAGTCAAAGTTTCCAGCAAATTGCGTCGAGTCACTGAAGGGCGCCAGTTTCTACATCAAGCCTTATACTAAACAAGTATGTAGCGACAGTGGAGGGGAAAACTCCCTCTTAACAGGAATAAACCTTCAGAGGATCCTGGCTCAGTATAAATAGCCGTATGCCATGACTCTCTGGGGATGAAAAAGACAGAGCAGACACAAACACCACATATTTCTATGGCTACATTGTGATTTCTTAGTAAATATTCTATTTAATAAGACATAAATAACTGGATAACCTAGCCTTTTAGATGGAGGCAGGGCAAGAGAGATTCGTCTTTACTGACTGTATTCCCCACTGTACACTCCACCTCCCTCTACTCCCCCACTCATCCAGATCTGGGCTAACATCAGATTTTAACCATAGACCCTATCAAATAAAAATGTTTTAAGCCTAGTCTTAAAAGTAGACAAGGTGTCTGCCTCATGGACTAAAGCTGGGAGCTGGTTCCACAAGAGAGGAGCCTGATAGCTAAAAGATCTGCCTCCCATCCTATTTTTAGATATTCTGGGAACCACCAGTATACCTGCAGTCTGAGAGCGAAGTTATCTGTTAAGAACATATGGAACAATCAGATCACTGATGTATGATGGAGCTTGATTATTAAGAGCTTTATATGTGAGAAGGAGGATCTTAAAATCTATTCTGAATTTAGCAGGCAGCCAATGCAGGGAAGCTAAGGCAGGAGAGATATGATCTCTCTTTTTAATTCTCATCAGAACTCTAGCTGCAGCATTTTGGACAAGCTAAAGACTTTTAACTACATTCTGAGACGCTTCTGCCTTTTCCTCCCTTATCTGTGTTTTCCCAAGGCTCTTTTTGTCCCGTCTGCCTACAGAGCGCTTCTCTGCATTTCCTCTGCAATCACCTTTTTTCAGCATTTTTCAACATGGACTTAATTAATTGGTCATTCAACGCGATTGATAAGATTTTTTCTACAATGAGGACGGAGGAGGGGGCTCACGCTTGTCCTCAGGGGACACATGCAGCGGGATATATGTTTGATTCCTGGAAAAAGTGGAATATCATCTGTCTCTCTCAGCTGTCCATTGAGGACGTCGAAGATATGTGGATATTTGGCCTGATGATTGTTGGATTTCTTCTGATTGGAGTGGGAGGATATCTGGCTTTCCGTAAAATTGGGATGACGGGAGCGATTGGAGGGCAACCCGCAACCATGGACGGCACCGTCCTTGTGGATACCTCACAGACTGGGACGTTGCTCGAGGTGAATCGCAAGCTGGACAATGTCTTAGCTGCATTACCGGTGTTAGCGCGCAGGATTGATAACATCTCGGAAAGGGTCACCGGACGGTGTGGAGATGTTTAATCACTGAATTGGCTTCACTGGAGGACTTGAATGATCAATACAGACTTTAATGCAGAGAGGAAAAATTATCTCTGTCTGACCCAAACAAAGTTCTGTTATCGAATCTGACGCCATAAGCAGCCTTGGAGTTGCATGCAAAACCCCCACGCTGGAAGGAATGCAGACATATGCTGTGAATCTCTATCCACCCCCCCCCACCCCCACCCCCCACCTTCAGATTGTGGTCTCCACCGAGGTCATCAAGCTAAGGACTCACTGCTTTCTGTGCCTCCCCATGACCTCCCTCCCACCTGCGGAGCCAGCTGGTTGAGCGCCACACAGGCAGCCCCCGCTGATGAAACCAGGATCACAGCCCCTCCCCCCTACCTACCGGGTCTCATGTTGTGAACTGTGACGTTTGTTACTTACATGTCGGGTGTTTTTTTTTGCATTGGAGCGCTACACCCTGCTGGTGTAACCCTGTTAATGACTTTTTTCTCCCTCCCTGAACTTCCCTCATGTATTCCCTTACTCATCTACAAAGGAGCGCCGTCATGGCTGCTCTCATGGTCTGCCTGTATCTGTCTTGTCTATATGTGTGTGTGTGTAACCTTGGTCAGGTTGTACTATGGAGTCAAGTTCCTACGCTCTGAAAGGAGCGCTGGCAATAAAATTCATTCTGATTCTGATTGTAGCGTCCAGAAATGGTCAGTTTCTCATCTACAGTTTGACCTCTTCAGTATCCGGTCATACGGAGACACAAGTCTACATCTAGTGCCTTTAATCTGCTGGATCCTGCTATTCTATCAGCTGGAGTCCAGGCCTCCGCAGCTTTCAACACAGGATAACATATTGTCAACAAACTTCCCGTTTCAAGGCCTCAAGTTTCCCCTTATCGCTTCTACAGGTTTCCTCCTGCCTCTGAATAAAAGTGAACATTTTCAGCTCATATAAGTTAATTAATCATGAAATGAAATTAAATGAACAATATGGTTGAATGAAATGTTTTGATCAATCTGTGCTTACCGTATTTTCCGGACTATAAGCCGCTACCTTTTTCCCACCCTTTGAACCATGCGGCTTATAATGAGGTGCGGCTTTACTGAAGATTTTCCTTCACCTGCCAGGGGGCGCTTTAGCAGAAAGTGAAACAGGTGGAAGTCAAAAGTGGAAATCGAAGAAAGTGCTCGTTTTAATTTAGCA